GTTTGTGGCAAACAAACGAGAGGTGTTTCTGGGGATATCAGGATTACTGGTTGTGAACGGATCAAAGTGGCGATAATCGCACAAAACGATTACTTGACCGACAAATTCACACTCAAAGAAGCGCTTCTGTTTGCCTCGAAGACCAAGAATGGCGTCAAGAAAGTAGATCACGAAGAGATCGTTAATAATGTGGTCAATGCGCTATCATTAGAGACCTGTTTGGACACCCGTTTGGGCAAATGCAGTGGTGGTCAGCGTCGACGAGTGTCTATAGCCTTGGAATTGGTGTCCAATCCTAATATACTAATACTGGATGAGCCCACCTCTGGTCTCGACAGCTCTGCCTGTTTTCAGATCATTGAGAACTTAAGGGATTTAACTCAACACAAGAAGAATCCGATGGCAATCGTGGCNGTATTTGTTTTGCCTTTTTTGAAATACCAGACAATTTGGTGCAGCACTTATCGGTAGTAAGTCTATCGGTGCCAGAGTTTCACAATCCGGCTGATTATATCGCAGAGATAGCGTCTGGAGAGCACGGGGAGGACTGTATCATACGACTGGCCACTCATCGGAAGGAATCTCTAAGCAAAATAGAAACCACAGAAATAACCGAATCCTCTCATAAACTGTCGAAAATGTCACAAAAATATAAGTTTCCTCTCATTTTGCATACAATACTACTCATTCAGAGGGCATCCCGACTGTTGGTCAGAGAGCCACACCTATCATGGATTAGGCTGATTACGAGTACAGTGGTGGGCAACCAAGTGCTCGGGTATTCAACATGTTTCATAATGTTTACGTCATTTCACATAATGGACAGTGCATATATCATGGACCACCAGGTGCTTAGAATTTGTTACAATTTAATTTTGTTAAATAAATTCTTATACTGTATTTGTTTTGCCTTTTTTGAAATACCAGACAATTTGGTGCAGCACTTATCGGTAGTAAGTCTATCGGTGCCAGAGTTTCACAATCCGGCTGATTATATCGCAGAGATAGCGTCTGGAGAGCACGGGGAGGACTGTATCATACGACTGGCCACTATGTCACAAAAATATAAGTTTCCTCTCATTTTGCATACAATACTACTCATTCAGAGGGCATCCCGACTGTTGGTCAGAGAGCCACACCTATCATGGATTAGGCTGATTACGAGTACAGTGGTGGGCATACTCTTGAGTTTTGTGTTCGCCCACCCAGATCTGGGAAAAGTTGCCGGATGTCCGCCCAGAATGGAGGGCCTATACAGCGATAATCCGACAGATCTGTTCAAAAATGCTGTTTACGAGCAAAAACGAATCGATGAGAATTTGGGCTCAATTTTCTTTAATGTAGTTTTCTTACAATATTCCGGACTTTTACCGATGATTATGACATTCCCGCGAGAATTCAATTGCCTTATCAAACACTACACTAATGGCTGGTACTCTACGTTCACGTATTATATATCAAAAATTATTACCGATTTGCCGGTTATATTCACGGGTTTGACATCTACTTAAACATCTATTAATAAATAGTTGTATTAATAAACTATTTTCTCATTGATAGCTACTTTCATATACCTTACGCTATGGTATTTACTGACCGGACAAACAGAGGAGTTATGGAGATATTGGACACTAATTCTTGTGGGTATACTCATTATGATGAACGGACAAAGTCATGGTATGATATGCAGTGCTATCTTCTCCAAAGACCCGGTCAATGCCGCCTATTTAAGTGAGCCTTCATTTGTCACAAATTATAATAAATTACTAAAATTAGAAAATCTTATAACCAATACAATTGAACATAAAATGAATGATAATATTTGATTCATAAATCCCAACCCCTGTCCACAGCTATAGTGACCTCAACGCCATTCTTCCTATTAAGTGGTTATCTCGTGAGAAGTAAACGAATTCCCGATTATATCCGTCCGTTGACGGCACTGTCGCACACGAAGTACGGCTTCGAGTCCATAGTGATCACTATATACGGCTACGAGCGCTGTTGGTATCCCGACTCCAACCGCACTTTAGTGGAGCCGCCGTGGCTTCGGTTCCTTCGGGTGATGACCTCATCCATGATCGACCACAAGGCAAATGACGACGACTTGAACTTTATCACCGATAATACCACTCAGGATAGCAGTAGTGAAAGGGATGGCAACGCTATGCACGACCTCCTCGCCCTCTTTTCGGGCAGTCATGCAGTCAGTGATAATAAGTACCAATCGATGGTTATGTCTCAGTTTGAGTTCACCGATGATATGCTTCCCTTCAATATATTGGTTCTCATCTTATATACTGTCGTCTTTCAAATCATTGCATACATTGTGTTAATTCGTAAATTAAGAAAAGCTATTTAATCAGTTAGTTATCTAGGTATTAGTAACTAATTTAGTTATTAGTTATCTCATATCTACTCTACAATAATTTCACAATAATATTTTAGAAATATTAAAGTAAAATGATAATCCTAATGTAAATTAAGTTCAATTTTCTATATTTCAAACTTTCCAAAGAAAAATTAATATTTTAAAAAGTCATTAGAAGTCGTTATCTTTTTTATAAATATATTTTATTATTACGAATGGTATTCTCATTAATCAATTTTGAATTTTCTTAATGAATATGAGATATTCATAATTTTATGAAAGTTTCAAATGAATATCAGCTAAAAGTCAAAGTAATTTTATTAACAAACAAATAGTTAAATGAATCAATAATTTTATTTTCGTCCGTAAAACAATTATACTTTATTGCTTATTTAATTTAATTGAATTATTATAATTATAATAATCATCAACCTTTCAAATGTAATCTCTAGAAATTCTGTCAAATGTCAAACATTTTCTTTCAAATGTGTTGTCAAATGTATGCAAATATATGTATCTATTTGTTAGATAATAAAACATCAATTTATTTGTTGTTAACCTACTTTCCTGATAAATATCAAAACAAAATGAAATTTAAAGCATTTTTATCATAGCATAGCATTTTATTTCACTGTATTGTATAGTTTATATTAAAATTGACATTTTATTGATTACCTCAAATTGTGTACTTCACTTTATCATAAATTTTTACCTATGTTAAATAAATGAATATACCTAACAAATTCATTATAAGCTTATACTCAGTTGCATGGAAATAATGTATTTTACATCTCAAACATTATATTTTGACAAAAGTGACAAAAACACTGTGCTATCGATTTGTGAAATAGCTTTCAAATAGCTGTCAAATAGTAGGTCATGTATAGAAACTACAATTGAATGAATAGTTTTAGTCAAAAAGTTTGATTAGATGGCTACAAAAAACCCCTAGCCAAAAAATAGAGCACTTAACTGTAATACCTGTAATACTTACATTATGAAAGGCTAGAACTTTGAAAACTTTGTGCCAAAAACAAAAAGTGTTTAAACTTTCGCAAAAAGTTGAGCTTTAAATGCAATAAACGGCTCACAAGAGGGCGATAAGCGTTTGTTGTGAAGCGCAGCACACGTGTAGTCATAGTGAGAGCCAATGGGAAGGTATCGCGCCTTTTGTATAGCGTTTTATAGCGAGAATTAACAGTTAAATGTCACACAAACCCCTCACATGTGTTAACCATTGAGTCATTTAACACACAATTATTTGTTTGACTTTTGTGTTGACTATGAATACTGTTTTACATGTGTTTTCAATTGACGTATATTTACGACACAAACACTCATTTGATTGATTCACTGAAACCAGTGGTCAACTGAACGCCAATAAAAGCAACCCTTTTGTCAACACATGTATTGACCGCTCGGTTGGTCTCATCCAAAGTGTTTGCAATGAATGCCACCGAAAGACCCCAACTGTGCGCCACCGATGACACCGATGGTCACCACGAGAACCACTCCATGACCTCCCCGTCCGCCGCCACCACATCCCGCGTGTCTCACGAGTGGTACGCATCGGGTGTGACTCAACACATGACAGACACCAACAGCACTGATAACTCCTTCTTCAGTTGCGTGGACTCGGAGGACATGAATGGGCTGACGGCTCGACAGATGGATGTGTCGACGGATCCGTTGCTGACATCGATGGCCGAGACGGACGAGTCGTGTCTCGATTGGTCTCAATGTAACCAAACGGACGACTCGTTAGCCATCCGAAGGGACACACAGTCGCCGACACAGCAGACCATCGATAAGCGGTTCAACGATTTCATGGATCTGTTGAACAAAAGCAAACACTTTTCCGTTGTTATGGAGAATAATCTGAGACAACAGCGACAAGAGCTGA